CTCTTTCCCTAGCTTTGGTACCTCCACCACCACCATGTCTTGCCTAGCATCCAAAGATGGTGCCATGTAAGCGCACATGTTGGGATTCTCCTTCAAGATCTCTTCATTTAAGTACATGTATCTCCTCTTGATCATAGACTTGTCGCCTGAAATTTGTTACAAAGAAATAACATGAATTAATATTGAAATCCATACGAGTAGATGAAAATAATAAAGAGCGTGAAATGTTAACTAGCTATAGTACTTACACATGCGCTGAAATTTCTCTTTGAGTTCAGTCATGTGCTGGCTGTTGGTGATTCTGAAGTAGAAATCAGGATAGGTGCTCTGGTCAACACAGTTTGGTGGATTGGCAGTTCCAATAGCCAAGATAGTTGCTGGGCCTTCTGCCCTTTGGGCCTTGCGGATCTCAGCAACGCTGGCCATATCTTATGATCCTTCTGAAAGCACTGGGAATTGAACAAAGTGAACAAGTCACAGTACTTTGCAAGTAGAAGGTGTGGGTTGAAGTTGTGTTAGGGAGATAGCATTTTTATATGTATCTAAGATGGATCGGAGGGTAGGTGAATGTCACGTGCATGACCTTACCACGCATATTTTCCACCGTCTACCATGACTGCCCGACGTGCCCGTTAGTCTCTGACCTAAAAGTTTGGTGGCATATGCACGCATCTCTACCCCTATCTATCCTCTTATTTTATTTTTCATTTACTAACCAATAATTGCTAATATTTTATGCATCTATACCAAATTATATATATCCAAGATGAGGCAAACATGTGATTTCCGTCAAATATATTTATATTTATATATATTTTTAATTTAACCAATCGTATATTATATAAACGTTTACATTTTTTTGTTAGATTTGGTACTTAATCGAATTGCTATGTACCGTACATCACTATTGATATATCATAACTACGTGCATCAAACTTGGGTATGTGGGTATGGTACTATCTTCCTTTCCTTTCGTCAACCAACCAAGCATTTTGTGCCAATTTTTTCTTTTTAAACTTAATAATATATGTTCATGCTATTTTTTATTTAGTCACAAACTATTATGTATAGTAGGTTTTTCAATTTTTGTAAAAATTATCTTAAAAATTATATTCTTAGTTATTTGAAAGTATGTGGCTATTAAACTTTTTTTACCGGATACTTTTATATTTCTATTATTTAGGATTTTAGGGCTTTTAATATTATGCTTAAAATAATTTGCAGTAGGTTGATCGTTTTGAATTGCTCCTGTTAACATCACATACTTAATTTTATGTTACTTTTAAAAAAGGGTGCTTAAATAATTTGTCTTTACATTTAATTTAATGGGTACTTTCAATTTAGTTTATATGATAAAGCAAACTAATAATCCTAAATGACTTGTTATCCCAGATATTTTAATTTTGAAAGATCTTCTTATTGCAATATTCATTTGTCATATAGGAGTGTCTGAATTTTATTATTTTGAGAAAAATATTAAAACTAAAGAAACTTTAATTAGAAACTACTCCCAAATACAAACTAAACCCATATAAACATTTTTTTAATGTTATTTTCTAACTTCCTATTTGAGTCAATCGTGGTAGCTTAGCACGATGAGGCACCAGTTGTGTTGGGTAGGTAGCATATGTTTAATAAGATCAACGGCCACATTAAGAGCTAGAATTGCAATCACGTCATTGGGTATCTAAATTTTATTATTATTTTTCTTTTCTTATTCGTATATTCTCTCCGTGTCAATGAAGATGAGTTATAAAACAATAAAAAAGACAGTACTGAATATTTTTATTTTGATTCCAAAGTTAGTGGTTGATTCTTGAACCCCGGTCAAGGGATTGGAGCTATACCTACCCATTTTTATTTCACTTGATGCTATATTTATTATACATTAAAATTTAGATAGTAACATTCTTTCAATATATACTTTTTATTTTTTTAAAATTACTATAGGAATAAAATAACATAAAGTCATTATCAAATAGTTGGTGTACTGAGTCGGATACAGAGGATGTTAATCCCATTGTAATTTATGATATGATACCACTCTCTCTTCCCTGAATATGATAATATTTTATAGCCTTTTCATTTCATGTTTCTCGTGTTGAGTGTGTCAATGTATTTAACTTGGAACCTGATACATACATTTCAATGGCCACCACCACTTTGAGAGTTTTTGTGTGGCGTTGAGTTGGGATGAGTAAGAACCACTTGATTGACAAGTCATGTGTTTCAATCAGGAATTATTTTATCTTCTTAGTTATTTTGATTTGAATAAATTAGGCAAATCATGGACTAATTTGTTCTCTTTAATTATAAATATTAAGATATTTTATAATTATGGATAATAATTATTGCAAATATTCCTATCATTATTTATGGAGGAAATAACAATAAAGAAGACATGAAAGCCATTTTTTTTTTATGACAATGTGGTGCTGAATTCACTTGCCCCTCGCAGTTTAATTGAAGTTGCAGTTTGTCAATATGGCACATAAAGCATTAAGAGTTATTATTATTATTATTATATATTATTATTATTATTATTATTATTATTATTATTATTATTCACTAAACACTTATATGCACGTGTTATGAATTTTCAATTTAGTTTATGTACATAAAAACTTATTAAAACAATATTTTTATACATGTAAAAGTTACTAATTTAATTCATGTCACTTTAATTATTTTACGTATTTTATTTGGTTCTTATACTTGAAACACATTTTTCGTTGGATTTTTTACATGTAACACATCTTTAATTTGATTTTTACATGTAAGTATTAAATTAAGAATGTATTATATGTTTTAAATTAAAAATAGACTACATATATAATAAATAAATTAAAAATGTGTTAAGAAATTATCGGGCAATAGATGATAATTTTTACCACAAAGGAACTAATTTAATAAGTTTTTATGTATATTGAGAGACTAAATTATATATAACCTTTTTTTTAATTTTAAATAATCACTTCTTTTCAATTTTAAAATTCTTTCACCAGTTTATATATAAAAAAATTTATTAAATTAAAATATATATTATAAATTTAATTATATTAAATAAATATTTCTTATGTACAATGTAGAATGAAAAGTATGGTGTCGTAACTTCTCTAAATGTAAACTTTCATATAACCACAATAAAAAAACAAAAAAAAAAACAATGAAAAGTACTCCGGAAAATATATTTGATTTAAAGATATTATATGATTACTATTAAATTAATAAAAAGTATTAAATGTTGTATTGACTTTTTACCAATGTTTATAAATCCAAATAAGCATAATATATATTTCAAAACGATGATAAAAAAAAAGCTAGATATATAATGTACAATAATAAATTTAAATGTTATATAAATGTTTGCGTTCAAAACTATTTTTTAAAATTAAATACTTTAAAATTTATTTCAGAAATAAATTTTATTATGTATATTTTTGTTACATGATTTTTTAATATTATATATTTATATTAAATTAGTTTACATTAAAATTAAATACTATAATAATATTAAAAGTTGTAATATTGTGAAAAGTTAGATAAATTTCAAAACCAGCGATTTTATAAATTTGTAATTAAATTTAAATATATTAATAATATTTTATTTTAATTAATAACAGAATAGAAATTACAAAAGAATGCTATTATATATATATATATATATATATTAGTTTATTTATTTTTTAATTTAATTATTTTTTAAAATTACATTGATAACATCGATAATCAAACTTAAGTCTATCTAACTCCTTCAAGGACATTTGATGAAAATTAATTTGATTACTTTAAAATATATTTTATGAACAACAAAAAATAATAATTTTATAGATATTTTACCAAGGAGACTTAATCAACCATTAGCAATCGGTAGAAACTTCAATTTTACGATAGTAATGTAATTAAATTTAACGTACCTGGTTGTATTTAATGATAAATTAAAATGTTCACGTTAATACTATAATATTATACAATTGTGATAATTAAATATCAATTTATTAATTTTAATATTAAGTAGAAACTTGTTATATACTTTTTCATTCATAAAAATTATAACTGCAGCAATCAAATTCAAATTTAAAACTATATATTTATATGTTATATGTTACATATGTTAAAAAATAATTAAAATATATTTTATGAATAATGTTAATTAAAAGTGATGATTTTATAGATATTTTAATTTAAAACAATTTTTAATATCTTTTTAACAATTAATTCTATAATTATAGAAATTAATAAAAGAATTACTCTATTTAACGGTGAATTATTTGTTATTTTTAGAGGAAAATTTATTAAAAAAGTACCACAACACACTCTTCCGTATAACTTTAATATACTTTTCAATAGAAAAATTTTGCACATCGATTCATTTAGTAAACCCTGTTCTTTTATTATTCTTTAATTTAGTTATTACCGAAAAGTTTAATTTTACTGTTGTCACTGAATGCAGCTAACATTAATGGTTATATTTAATGTCGAATTAAATTTATCATGTTAATGCTATTTATTATAAAATTTTATAATTTATAATGTTTTCTAATACTTATAATAAGATATTTTTAATTGAATTACACCTAACAAGATAAGAATGTATCAAATCATAATATAATTTATTTATTTTTTACTGATCATTGATTTTTTATGAGAAAGGTGAATATATTATTTTATATCAAAAATTATACATCAATATTAATAATATTATAAATGATCATTTGAGAGTTTAAGAGGTGACAGAAAACATTTATTTATCAATTTTTTTTTTATCATTATCCAATAACAAAAAATGCATGTTCTCATTGTAAGTTATATAGTGTTATAATTCTTTTAATTAATTTGTGTTGTTAAGTTAGATTTTTGTTCAGTGTTGAGAGACTCTAGGGTCTAAGATTTTCTTACAAGTTTTTATATTATTAGAGGTTTCTCTTAGTAGAGGGTCAATTTGACCATGAGAAGAAAAATATATAAGATTTTTATTTTGAATTGAGTGTCATAAACTCTTTTACTCAAAATTATAGAGAGAGGTGCTCTAGTTCATGAGTTTCTTTCAACTCCTAATCCTCTTCTCTTTCTTTCTTAATACTTACTAGTGTTGTGTTGTTATTAGATTCATGTTAGTAGTTGTTGAAGTGCATTGGGTGAGTTGCAAAGTTTCAAGCTTTCTTCTTCTACCTTAGTTTCTTGCTACTATAAGGTAAGAGAAGTTGGATTTATTTTGCTTTGGATGAGTTGTTAGTTGGTGAATGATTCTCGAGTTGCATATTGTGTGAAATTTCAAAAATTTGTGGTTGTGTTGATGAACCTGAAGTGAAAACATGTTGAAAATTTGGGATTTTGGGTTGTGAATGAAATATATCGATTTGATGCTATTTGATTGTTGCATGTTGGTTTTTGAGCTGAATTTGAGTTGCTTGTGTTAAGTAGGATCATTATGTTGTGTTGCATGTGTGGTTTGGCTGAGTTTCAGGTGGAATAGGTGATTTTCATGATCTGTATAAGTGTAGATTGTTCGTCACATCAAACGT